TTAAACACACATATACACACACTTATATACACATATATACACACATATACACATAACAAATTCAGATAGCAGTAGAACTTTTTATCATGGTCAGAACATGATTAGATTCTAAAATATGTAGCTTCCAAGACAATCCTTAGGAACATGTTCAAGTATTTTGTTATTACTGTTTTTACTTTGAGCTTTGTATTTTATGGCTAATATTTAAAAGTGAGGTGCTGATATTTCGAAGTTTTATATTAAAATGAAATGAAAAATGAGATGCTAAGATAGAGTAAGCATCTGATATATTTAGGATCTTGGCTAGTGTGGTCTCGGTACCACATGCATTAGAGTTATCTTTGGTGTTAAGTTTTTGGTTCCTTTCTAAGACTTGTGGAATCAGAACCTTTCTTAGGGGCTATCCAAGAATCTGTATTCTTTTAAACAAGATCCCTAAATACTCTTAAGCACATGGATATTTGACAATCTCAGAAAATGTTAATTCCATGTATATTTAGGTTACAACTAGAGACTGATTCCTGCTTCTTGCATATTATATATACACACGTGAATACATATACACATATATTTTGGTTTTTTTTAAAAACCATATTGGATTGCAGTGAGCTGAGATTGTGCCATTGCATTCCAGCTTGGGCAACGAGAGGGAAACTTTGTTTCAAAACAAAAACCCTATTGGAAAATGTAGCTTTTTCCTAAGAGTCAAATGATAGTAGTTTAGGTTTTTATTTATTTATAATATATTTACTTGATAGATATTTATTGAGTTCTTCCTGTGTAGATATTCTGACCAAGACAGTGTGCTGAAAATATAGTGGAGAACAAAAAAGTTTCTGCCTTCATGGAGTCTTATTTTCTAGCCAGGCAAAGGAGAAGCACAGAAAATAAATAATAGAACAGATACAAATGTCAACAGGTAATGAATGTTAGATAGAAAAATAAACTCGCATTAAAAAGATTGCAGGCCGAGCGTATTTGGCTCATGCCTATAATTCCAGCATTTTGGGAGGCCAAGGCAGGACTATCACTTGAGTGCAGGAGTTTGTGACCAGCCTGGGCAAAATAGTGAGACCCCCTGTCTATAAAATTACAGGAGTTACTATTTTTATAGGGCATTCAAGAAATGTCTCTAATATGATATTTGAGCAGAGACCTGAAAGAAGTAATAGTGCAAGGTATGTGGATTTCTGAGGAAATAAGTTCCAGGCAGAGGGAAGAACAGTTGCAAATGCTGTAAACCTGGAAGTTGGCTTGGCATAGTCAAGGAAAAGTAAGAAGGCCCATACAGCTGAAGTAGAATTGGTGGGGGGAGAATAAAAGGAGACAGAGGGTGGCCTGGGACTATGATATGATATGTGAAGACCTTAAGTTTTTATAAGAACTTTGACTTGGACTGTGAATGAGAGAAAGTCATTGGAGGATCACTCGGATTGCCTTGTTGCCAATAGCCTTCAGTTTGGTATACATTGGTTTGTGATGCCTATGGGTAAGCCAAGCAGAGATACATAAGAGCTTGGCCCTGTAGCCTTACTGCCTGTGTGCTGATCTTGGCTTCACAGTTTATTAGCTCTGTGACCTTGGGCAAGTTTCCTAACTCTGCCTCACTTTTCTCACTGCAAAATGGATATAATTATAATAACTATGCCGTGGTGTGGTTATAAGATTTAATTGAATCTAAACATAAGAGTGTTTAGAGCATAGTTGGTACTCTACAAATGTTAGCTATTATTTGACCCAGCAAGTGTTATGACATAAACACAAAGACAAATACACAATGTATGCACCATTACTTGTAGTACAAAATAATGAATTATGGAATACCAGAATAGTGGAATCCAATGTAATTTAAAATTGAGGTAGGTTTGTGTGTCAGAATTAATAAAAGTAATGTGTATATGCCTATATTTTGATGTGTATACCTCTATTTTTATTAAATATTTCTGGGAGGGAATATAAGAAATACAGTAAGTTAGTGGTCTATGGGGGAGACTGAAGGAGACTTTTTCTTACTGCATACACTTTTAAATATGTTTTTGCCATATCCTGCTATAATTTCTAGGTATATATTACCTATTAAATAAAAGAATTTCACATAAAATACAAAAGAAGTGGGGCATTCTCACTGGCAGAATCTTCAGAGTAGAAGTGTTCCTTCAAGTGTATAAACAATATTCGTTTCTTAATTTTGCTGCAGAATAACATTGCTCTGACTATGGAGGTTAGTTACCGGCAACGACTGCATATGGTTTATAAGGAAGTAAAGAATCGCCTGGACTATCACATATCTGTGCAGAACATGATGCGTCGAAAGGAACAAGAGCACATGATAAATTGGGTGGAGAAGCACGTGGTGCAGAGCATCTCTGCACAGCAGGTACACAATATTTTTGAGGTTCTGACACTGTACTTGTATCTCTAATGAGTATCTACCGATGTTTTGTTAAGGTAGGAATAGCTGGCAAGGAGTCTTTAGCCTAGAAACAGCAATGTGACCCCGGTTTGTTTTTCTGGATAGTGATAAGCAAGAAGATGCTGCATACCTACCACGATGGCTTTTCTCTTTCCTCAGATTTGGGTAACATTAACCAATATATTTAATTTCTCTATAAAACAGACTGGGCTGGGCATAGTGGCTCTGCCTGTAATCCCAACACTTTGGAAGGGCAGGGCAGGAGGATCACTTGAGCCAAGGGGTTTGAGACCAACCTGGGCAACATAGCGAGATCCTGTCTGCACAAAAAATTTAAAAATTGGCTGGGTGCGATGGCAGATGCCTGTAGTTCCACCCACTCAGGAGGCTGAGGTGAGAGGATCTCTGGAGCCCAGGAAGCATAGGCTGTAGTGAACTATAATTGTGCTATCGCACTCCAGCCGGGTGACCGAGCAAGACCCTGTCTCAAAAAATAAAATAAGTAGGGGGCCGGGCACGGTGGCTCACGCCTGTAATCCCAGCACTTTGGGAGGCCGAGGCGGGTGGATCACGAGGTCAAGAGATCGAGACCATCCTGGTCAACATGGTGAAACCCCGTCTCTACTAAAAATACAAAAATTAGCTGGGCATGGTGGCGTGTGCCTGTAATCCCAGCGACTCAGGAGGCTGAGGCAGGAGAATTGCCTGAACCCAGGAGGCGGAGGTTGCAGTGAGCCGAGATCGCGCCATTGCACTCCAGCCTGGGTAACGAGAGCGAAACTCCGTTTCAAAAAAAAAAAAATAAAATAAAATAAAATAAAATAAAATAAGTAAAAGATGGAACAAGTCTATTTCTAAGCCCCTTCCATTTTCTAATTCCATGACATTCCATTTCTTCTTCTCAGCTGCATAATTTATCTATTTTGAATGGAAATGTTTTCTATTTGCTTAAACTGAATTACTTTATTTATATTTTTGCTTTATTATTACTTGATTTTTTTCTTAGGAATATAACATTTAATTATTTCTGGTCATTTTCAGCATAACCTATATAGAATTAGAAGAACAGGGTCAATCAAAGTGTTTTTTTTTAATAAACTATCTTTTACATAACTAATATACATGCTTAAGAAACTTAGAAAATACAAAAGAAGCCTAAAAAAGAGACTAAAAATTATTTTCATTTCTAACATTTGTATATTACTAATATTTGTTTGGTTGGTCTTTTTCAAGCAGCTGTTAATTATATAAGCCAACATCAGTGGCAGATGGTTACAGGAATATCTGGCCTCAAATTCTATGCAGGTTTTAATCATAAAAGCTGTGAGCCAGGGAATTTTAACTAACCCCCTGGATTTGCTTAAAATAAATTGTATCTTCTCTGTTTTAATTTTATATCTAAACCAGTCTAGTAGCCATATAATGTTAAGCCAGTAATCCTCTTGAGCTTCTGGTCTGGTAGGAGTTGTCTTTTAGAATAATGGTGTTTATACTTTTCTATGTTTTGGAAAGGTCTTACCAGATTTCTCTTTCCTTATCACAGGAAAAGGAGACAATTGCCAAGTGCATTGCTGACCTAAAGCTGCTGGCAAAGAAGGCTCAAGCACAGCCAGTTATGTAAATGTATCTATTCCAATTGAGACAGCTAGAAAGTTGACTGACTAAATGGAAACGAGTTTATTTGACAAAATCTTTCTGTATTGGTGTCTACTGAAGTTATGGTTTACCTCTCCTAAAAATGAAAAGTTTGTGTTAAATAGTGACAGAACGAAATCTCTATCGGCCAGTCAACTATTTCTCGTCATTCTTACTCTGCATTTGAGTTATTCTATGATCACTTCTGTATAAGCCTTTATAAAAACTTGCTGCCTGACTAAAGATTACCACGTTGTAGTTTAAATTTGTAATTAATTCTACCGTCTTGCAATAAAGTGACAATGACATGAGGTTTTTCAAGTTGTGTAAGTCTCTGAAATACTCAGCTTTTGTCATATAGGTAAAAATTAAAGATGTCATTGAACTACTGTCTTGTTGATGAGACCATCCAGTGGTGAATTATTTCTGGCTGATATGAGATATGTAAAGCTTTGTAGTACTCTTAAAATAACTAAATGGAATATTGTATATCAATTCATATCGTTGACTTTATTACCATTTTAGTAGTATGCCTGTAGAAAATATTATGGACTCAGTGTGTCATAAAATCACTCTTAAGAATCCAGCAGGCCAGGCACAGTGGCTCGCACCTGTAATCCCTGCACTTTGGGAGGCTGAGACAGGCAGATCACTTGAAGTCAGGAGTTTGAGACCAGCCTGGCCAACATAATGAAATCCTATGTCTACTAAAAATACAAAAAGTTAGCTGGGCATGGTGTCAGGCACCTGTAATCCCAGCTACTTGGGAGGCTGAGGCAGGACAATTGCTTGAACCCAGGAGGCAGAGGTTGCAGTGAGTCAAGATCATACCACTACACTCCAGCCTGGGTGACAGTGAGACTCCATCTAGGGGAAAAAAAACCCAGCAGGCACCTATCAAGAACATAGAAAATAGCAAGTGTTGGCGAGGATGTGGAGAAGTTGGAACCCTTGTGCACTGTTTGTAGAAATACAAAATGGTACAGCCACTGTGGAAAAGGGTGAAATTAAATTGGAAATACCATGATCCAACAATCCAACATCTGCATATACACTGAAAAAAGCAGGGTCTTGAAGAGATACTTGGTACAGCATGGTGATAGCAGCAACATGGAAGCAGCCCAAGTGTCCATCAATGGATGAATAGATAAGCAAAGCATGGTATATCCATGCAATGGAATATGATTCCACCCTAAGGAGGAAAATTCTGACACTGGTTGCAGCATGAATGAAACTTGAGGACGTTAAGCAGTTTTATAAGTTGAGTTATGGAGCTGGACAGTGGTGATGGTGGCACATTAAGAATGTATTTAATACCATTCTTAAATGATACACTTAAAAACGGTTAAGATGGTAAATGTTGTATGTACTTTACAGTTTTTTTAATTGAAGAAAAATCCAGCAGATAAGTTAGAAAATTCTTCCCTTCACAGGTTTATCTGTGTTTAATTCTCCCATACTTTTACAAGGATTTATTTGTATTCAAATGGACAGATTACATAATAGGAAATATTTAAAAAATATGTATCAAGAGATTGCTATTTTCATTGACTTCCTAAGATTTTATGTAATATTTGAGTTAATATTGATAGCTAATATACTCATCTAATATTGAAATCAGATTGTTGTCTTTGTTACTTAAAGAGAATTTGATTGGGTCAGCAGTTATTTCAAATTATTCATTAAACAAAAAATTATAAAACACCTAGTTTATGCTAAACAACATAATGCAGTGATCATACAGAGATAAAAGTCCTTACCTCGCAGTTAAATATCTACTAGGAAGACAGAATGTGTGATAATACAGACTTGCGCACAGGGTGCTCTGAGAGTGTGGCAAGCACCATGTTAGGTAGTCTCACCAGCCTCATGTTTCCCTGATATGTATCATCCAGGTCAGCATTCAGTCAGAGAAGCAGAATATATGTTTATATGTAAGGAATCTGACTATGCTCTTGTGGGAGCTAGTTAAACAATCCAAAAAGCTGTTAGTGTTCTTTCTGATGCTGGAACTCAAAGTCCACAGGGCAGGTGGTTAAGGGAAAATGAATGTAAAGTGGGAGACAGTAAGAACCAAGTGGAAATAACAAGCACAAACGAACCCAGGTCAGTTTTTATCATCTCTGGCCTTGATAGTGTGGTTGTCCTATATATAGCTAGTGCTCGACTTACGACCACGATTGGTTCCGACAGACCGGTCGTAACACGATTTGGTCGTAAGTTAAGTAGGCTATATGTACAGTACTGTGAAATGATGTTGTAAAAATCTTTAAGTCATATTTTATAATTTTCTTTCATTATTGTTATATATCATAATTTTCTTTGTTCATTTTATGCCATTTGTATCATCTCTACACCATTTTGTTTCTTATTTTTACATTCGTCAGGTTTAAGTAAAACACTGCATTACCAGTACAACTGGTTTAATGTTTGCAAAACATACAAAATTACAAAATACAGGTGCATACCAAAATACAAAATGCAGGTGTAAAAAATAGCATAGGAAACATTTTGCCAATTGCAAAACATATCAAAATATATAAACATGTACGAAACATTTTATTGGCCGCTGGTGCTTGGCTGCGGATCGTTGATGTCATCATCTGAGGCAGCAGTTGGGGTTACCGGAGTTGGTTTTTTCATAAACATGGTGAGCTTTGTCTGAATTGTATGTTTCTTTTTTTCTTCATAAATTTCACGATACGGATGAAACACATCGTGCGCCATCCGTTCAATCCTTGCAAATCGTTCGATGTTTGGGTCCATTGCTTCAAAAGTTATAAGAAGTTTATTGGGAGGGGTTTGATGAAAAATATCCAAGACACAAAACACAAATTGCTGTACCGAGTCTGGGATAACAGTTGAAATGGTGCACGCGGAGATGGTAGTGCTGCCGGAAGCTGGTCCGCACTGTCGTCCACCCAGCTGGGCAACAGTTTGCACTGCCAGACGCGGAGCCGTCGTGGCTAGCGATTGTGGTCGTAAAGTCAAATGGTCGTAAGTTGCATAGGTGCTAAGTCGATCAATACCTGTAACCCCATATCCATCGTAAACACCTGGTTTAAAGAAACCTGGTTAGAGAAACAAGAGTGATCCAGGGAAAAGATGGGAAGTTGTCCAGCTGCAACTTGTGAGCCAACACCACCATGTATGAGCTATAAAACAGCTGCTGCTTCACATTCATCCTTCAAATTTTGCTCAAGACTTGTGGCTTACCCTACCTAACCAGAACACTGAGGGAGGATAATTCCAGAAAATGTAGTTCTGCCTAACCAAGCTGACATTACAAACACCACACTAACTATCCTATCAATAATTGTTAACCTGAATGAATAAAAGTGCTTAAAAATTTCAGACCCAGGAGGTCGAGTAAAACATGGAGAGAACAGAAAGGTGACAGGTTGGAAAACAAATGGTGTCTGAGCTGGCATTTCTAAGTTAGCCAAGAGGGTGTCCGGGGGATTAGATAGAGTCCAGGAAGATGGAACAGCATTTGTGATTGTAGAGAGGCAGGGGAGTGTGACATTTTAAAAACTCAAGTTTGAGCGAAATATAAATATTTAATAAATTATATTTGTGGGTTTTTTTTTTTTTTTTTTTTTTTTTTTTTTTTTAGATAGGGCCTGGCCCTGTCACCCAGGCCAGAGTGTGCAGTGGTACAATTTCGGCTCACAGCAGCCTCTGCCTCCTGGGCTCAAGTGATCCTCCCACCTTAGCCTCCTGCAGAGCTGGGACTACAGGCATGCACCACCACACCCATCTAATTTTTGTGGGGTTTTTGGTAGAGATGGGGTCTCACCATGTTGCCCAGTCTGGTCTCAAACTCTTAGGCTCAAGCAAGCTTCCGCCTCCCGAAGTGCTGGAATTACAGGCGTGAGCCACAGCACCTGCCTATACTAGTGTTCTTAAATGCTGTGCTTAGAATTTGGATTTTGTTCTGACAGAGGGCAGCCCCCCAAAGGTTTTAGGCAATGATTACTAGATTTCTGTTTCAGAAAAAATCACTAGCAACAGAGGAGAGGGGCAAGACTAGTTAGGCTATTGGATCATTCTAGCTAGCCAATATTGAAGGCCTTAACCAAAGGCCTTGACAGTATAGATTGAAAGAACTGTTGAGAAATACTAAAGGCAACATTTGTAGGACCCAACTGAAGAGAATATGGAAGAAGAGAAGAATCAAGCTGAATCAGGTTTCTTGCTTGAGAGGGTAGAAAAGGGAGGCACTATCCACTAATTTGTAATACACAGACAACTGTGCTTCAGGAAGAATAGGGCTAGGTATAGAGCCATGAAAACACATCAATGTTTGAGGCATGGCAGAGAAAAAAGTAATCTGCAAAAGAGGGAATGGTCAGTCATTGGATGAAAACCAGCAGGGAATAAAGTCATAAAGTTGAGAGGCTGGAGAGTTTCATCAAAGAAGAGTCAATAGTAACCAATTTTTTAAGGAGATTAAGAGAAGGACTGAAAGTGCCGATTAGAGCTAAGAGCTTAGAGGTCTTTAAGGTACTTACGGTGGTTTGGTTGAATGGTAGGAACAGAAGAAGAGTACATGAGGTTAAAAGGATTGAACAGCAATGAAGAAATTGACTTAAATGTAGAATAATTTCCAGAACACTTCTCACCCCAGTAAACGGAGCCAAAGGTTGGCTCAGGGGAATATTATTTTAAGAGGCTCGAATGAAGAAAAAGTCAATGGAAAAAGAGGATGAAAAGAAAACCATGAAGGAAGATAAACATAGTAAAATCTCTAAGTGGGAGAATAGTACTCACACAATAGAAATTAACAAGGTAAACATCTTCCATAGAAAGGTAAGGATGGACCTTGAAAGAATGACGTTTTTCACTGAGGAACGGGAAGCTCATTCATTAATCATTTATTTTTTTAAAAAAATACCATGTGTCATGCTTACTGCTAGAAATTAAGGTAGGACAATTTGGCATCCACCACAGAGCTTACAGTCTAGCAATCTAGGCATTGAGTAGTATAGGGTTGCCATTGTTAAAACTGCAGGGTGAGGCCAGGCGCGGTGGCTCAAGCCTGTAATCCCAGCACTTTGGGAGGCCGAGGCAGGAGGATCACGAGGTCAAGAGATCGAGACCATCCTGGCCAACATGGTAAAACCCCGTCTCTACTAAAAATACAAAAATTAGGTGGGTGTGGTGGTGTGCGCCTGTAGTCCCAGCTACTTGGGAGGCTGAGGCAGGAGAAATGCTTGAACCTGGGAGGTGGAGGTTGCAATGAGCCAAGATTGTGCCACTGCACTCCAGCCTGGCGCCTGGCGACAGAGTGAGACTCTGTCTCAAAAAAAAAAAAAAAAAAAAAAAAAACTTTAGGGTGATAGGTGCACATAGAAGTAAACTTAATCTAGTGTAGGAGATTATGAAAGGCCTTCTAGAGCAAGTAATATGTAAAGTGGTATCTGTGGAAACGAGAGATCATCAAACAGAGGGAATGTAAATACCTTGTGTGAAGTTCCTGAGGTAGGAAGGAG